GTACAGCAGCAGAGAACTGGTCAAGACTCATCCCCGTACCGTACGGGGAGCCGGCATAAGTACCGGTGACACGTACGGTACCAGGGGCATTTCTGCAAAGGCCCCGAGGGCAGAAATGAATAATGCGGTATTTGAAAGTGGCGCCCGAATTGCAGCATGGCGCCAGTTGTCCAAAATCCTACGGTACCAAAGGAGGGGTTTGGAAAAAGGGTGCCAGGCCGAAAACGGGATGCAGCCGAAACAGCAAAGAGATAGACCAGGGATCGAGCCCTGGCGGAGTCCGGAACAGAGAGAGTTATTCTTCTTCCTCTTCTTAGTCTACCCTCTCCCTCTCACCCTCTTGCTACCTGATTTCACTACATCAGCAGACTATGAGAGAGCGGGCTTGGTGACATTTGGATCCAGACTCGACTTTTGGGCTTCAAACAGTTTGACGAGGGATTATTTGGGACTTGTAACGAAGATTTGGTGTTGACGACATTCCCATCTCTCCCCCTCTTCTTCGTCTATTCCCTTCCTCTTCGCCTGTGCATGATCTAGGCCTCGCGCCTTCTTCCTATGTATAGCGTCGGGTCCCTTCACACCTTGTGATAAGGATGATGTATGTTTGGTCTGCGTTGCAACATTGATTGGGCTAGTCATTGGTATTCTAGCATTCTGCTGCGCTGTTTTACACTACGTGATAGAGGTCAGTCCCGGTCAGGTCAGGACTTGTATCTAAGTCTTCCACTGCGCTATAAAGCACCATTTTTGTATGTATCAGAATGTACACTGGTTGTTGAGATTTCACTTGCACTGCATTGTCCATGCAGTCCTTTTTATCACATTGCGGATCCTTGGTTTATTATGTACATCGCCTAATTGGGCATGTAACAGTTGGTATTGGAACACCGCACGTGAATCAGGACAACCTGATCTGACACATGTGCGGGGACTAAGTAGCTGATTAGTCTTGATTGATTGATTTGAGCACACTAGTTAGCCCCCAAAATCACGATTTTGACCTCACTGCCGAAAATCGAATTTTTTTTCTTTTTCTTGGATTTTGTTTTCCCGCTATTTCTGTTGTGGAAAATTGCAATAGCGCAACACCTGAAATTTCCTTTTTCGTTTTTCTTCTGAAAATTCAAAATTTCGTTGTTGGAAATCAGAAATATTTTTTTTCGAAAATTTCGATTTCCTTTTGCAATTTCCCGTTATTTTTTTTTCCGAAATTCGTTTTTCTGAAAACGGTACGGGAAATACCTCTTGCAGTTATCATTTTCCAAACTCCGCATACTCTCATTTGAGTAATTTCAAATATTTGTTTGTAGTTCTCTTCGGAATTCTTATCGGACACTCATCTGCAGTCTGAAGGTTCAAAAAAAAAATTCTCATTCATAATTTCGCACTTCAGGGGGAATTGGGAGGCCTACTGAACTTGCAAACGAGTATTTTTTCTTTTTCTCGAAAATTTTGCAAAGTTCAAACCTTTCTTTTTTTTATTAGTGGCTTCTTATCTGGGCGATTTATCCCACCCACCCCTCCCCACCTACGTTGTTGCCCCCTCTGGTCTTACCTTCTCTGTCTGTCTCCGGGTACCCCCTGTGGCGGCATTGGTGAGTTGCCACGTCAGCAGACCACGTCAGCAGGCCACGTCAACAGACCACGTCAGCAGGACACGTCAACAGGACACGTCAGCCGACAGCAGCGCCAAGTCAGCAGCAGGAGTGTTATGTCAGCAGTCCTCCGGCCTGATCTATGCTCACGCGCTTACAAACAGCCGGCATGGATCAAAAGCCCAGCGAAACGGGCGAGGCCTATCAGGCCCAGATGCTGCTTCTGATTACCGAAGCCAAGCAACGGTCGGATGCAGTAGTAGCCGTAGCAAAGAAGAAGGCCGAGGACGCCGAGAAGGCACGTCTGTTGGCAATTGAACAACAACACCAGTAAGACGAGGCAGCAGCAAAGGTTGCCGATGAAGAACAACTTCAATGACGCGAGAAGATATTCAGCGGAGAGCGAGTTTTGCTCACAATGGCAGCGGACTGGCGGGTCGAGGCTGAGAATGGGAAGCTGGAGGACATTCACAACCTTGACGACGCGGTTCAGACACACAATCAGGTGTTTGACCAACTCGCCAGCCGCCTCCAGCAACAGGAACAAACCGTCGCCGCCCCTGTTGCCAGCTCTTCCAACACCTCCGATCACCTCGAGGCATTGGAGATTGACGCCGGATCCCTCAAGGACGGCGTGCAGTTACAGCAAAACGCCACACAACCGTTGGAGTAGCGGATTTGTACTGTCGCCACTCACTCGAGATCGGAACCGCGTGAGACAACTCCAAAGTTCGATGATCAGGAGATCTTTTGCGATCGACGAAGACAGACCCGATTTCGTGGTTCCGTAAGTTCGAAATCAAGTTGCATCTACACTACGTCAGCGAGCACAAGCATCACGCGTACTTATACTCCCGCTCGGGGGGCGCGTTGTCGCACTCTTTCCAGTCGGGCCACTTCGGGCGACAGAAAGCCAACAGGCTGTCACGCAGGATTTTGTATAATTTTTACAATAAATAAAATAGATTAATTAAAGTAAATCCCTTCAATTGCGGTCTTCG